AGCTATTGGAGCTAGTACTTGTATTGCCCGTCGCCATAGCTACAGTTGAGAGGGTCTTTTCAGGCATAAAGATAGTGAAAACATCTTTGCGAAACCGTATGGGTGATCAGTACATGAGTAATAGTCTCATTTGTTATGTGGAGAAAGAGAAAATGTTGAAAGTTACCAATGTTGCTGAAGTGGATCGTTTCAAAAAAATGAGAGATCGCAAATACTAGAGGTGATGCATTACTTTCATATTTTATCGTTTTTCAGTTTTGAATCCGTCTTTTCTAGACATATTTAGTCATCTAACTAGTACTTTTGTCATAGATAATTGATTCATCGAGGACTTCGACTTAATATTAATATGTATTTTTGTCATGTAGACCATGTAAATTTTGGGTGTTTATCTGAATTAACTATTAATATCTCGGATCCAGTATTTTAGTACGAATTTCTGTAATTCTACTGTTTATGTACTGTCATTGTACTAAGATAATCATTATGCTTATGAAGTGTGCACTCAGGTCCTTGATGCTCTAGCTTCGCCCCTAGGAGTGGGTGAGTGTCAAAGCTTTGTTTGTCTCTTGCGCTCGCATCACCGCGCACTCGTCGTCGTCGCTAGGCCGAGGCCTCAGCGCACAGCCTCAGCTCGGGATTAGCGATAAGCTCCGGGGGTGTTGCTGGATTTGGCTATATAGCTCACTTTTGTAAATAAAGCCCCTGTGCATTATCGATTTCCGAGGACAAATCTTTCCGTTAGTTTTAGTAGTTTCTTGAAACGGGGCAGCAAGAGCTGGCTGACGGGGTTCGGGAATCGGGATTAGGTTAGTGTGACGTCTCGCCAACAGAGTCAATCATCGGATTCGTTTGAAACCGCCGCGCTACGCCTACTCCAACACGTCGGCTTCTCTGGTGCACCACACCACTCCAACTAGTTTTTATTATTGTCCTCACTCAATGGATACTTTAGCCGTTTAGTGTGAAAAAATATACTTTGATTTGTTTGGAATGCAAGGATCTCATAATCATTAGATAATTCTCGTGGTGCTGTACAAATAGTAGGGGTTTCCTCCTTTCTTTAGGGTAAAGGTAGATGGTTTTAGGAGATCCCTTAAATGTTAAAGGTATATGAGATGAGCTAGAAGATCCATAGCAACAAATTTCTCTTAAATGCTAGTTTTAAGATACAGGAGATTCGATGAGAGATCTAGAAGAGATGTTGTAGCTTTCTTGTTTTCTTTCTCATATAGACCCCCTTTGGTATAGATTCCGCAGCTCCAACTCCACCTGACCCCCGCACTATTCTGACATTGTAGCGCTATTGTTCACATGATCCTTTTTTCTTTCTCCTCTCACAGAGCCGGTGGAGCTAGCTTACTATTTTCGTCACCGGCTCCAGCTCCTCTGACTGGAGCTGGAGCGATCGAATCTCTACCAAAAGGACCATACACATGGCAGCCAAGCAAAGATAGTCCTCCAATCGTCTCTCACAAAGATATAGTCCTCCAATGGTCTCTCACTATCAGCTTTCTTTGTAGCATTTTTTTATTAGGAATATAAGATCATGTCAAGACCAAGTCTTATACTTTTTAAGACCAATAAAACTGGTGTTGTAGCGTATAGGGTCACCTGTAATTCGACTAACTAGGCCTCAAGATCTCCAAATTTAGTTATAAAAAAAGGGTCTCCAAATTTTCAGCAAACTATATGGATGCCTAAGTCTACGGAGGAGACTTCTATTGTATCCTCCATATATAAAGGTGTCAAATGATGAGTGTTAATAAGTGGCAGAGTTCTCAATGTCCTACGCACTAGTAAGGGGATATAAAGGTGTCAAATGATGATTGTTAATAAGTGGCAGAGTTCTCAATGTCCCACGCACTAGTAAGTCCCAACTAAAAGCACATTCAGCTTGTTCGTTTGGTCGTATTTGGCTTATAAGTCATGACTTATCAGTCAACGAATAGTATTTTTTTCTCACATCAAACCAGCCAACAGTACTTTCAACCGTGGCTTATAAACCAAACAAGCCCAAACGAACAGGGCGATTATTTTTAAGAAATCGTTTTTTCACGTTACAAACCTTCCACTTGTTGCTATCTTTTCCATACCTTCTTTTTCTCTTCTCAAACATCAGGCTGTTCTCGTGGCTTCTGTCCTTTTCTAAAGAGATGCCGAAAACCATATTGATTTTAAACAATAAATATTGTGTAGCTTTCTTAAACTTCAGAATTTACGCTTCTATTTGCGTTAAGGATATGTAGCTAATAGGTCAACGGTATGCATCTCCATCCATTACAAAAGTATGCGCTCCAAAATATAGGAGCCTGAGAAGAGGTTTCCTCGTGTTTTTTTTCTATGTTTAAATCTTAACAATTCCTTCTACTTGCTAGTTGTTCATTGATGAATCATACACGTCTTTTTGTTGCTTACCATTGTCCTATCTTTCTCGTCAACTCGTCGTTGCAAGAGGAAGGCATGGAAATGTCTCTTTTAATAGTCAATGTCAAGTGGTGACTGGTAGCACAAATATGTGTGGGCCAAGAAACCTTTGTCCTTTTCTGGACTTATTAAGAGGGCATAGCTGAATTTATCATTTCTACTTTCTTTTTCGTGAGTATAGGCTTAGGTTTGAGAACTAAATAATACTCGTTCCATTGTAAATTATATGCCACTTAGTCTTTTACTCTTAGTCAAGTTGTTTAAGTTTAGCCAATTTTTTTAGAAAAAATATACTAACATCCACGTGTTCAAATAAATATACTATCAAGACATATTTCATAGATAAATTAAAATAAATGTCATCAATGGGCAGTAAATGTGGTTGTGTCTAGGGATGAGAACGCGTCGAGTAAGTTACAGATGGAGTAAATACCTAAAAGGCCCTTGATGTCGTCTAAAGGGGGTGAATAGGTGAAAAGATCTATTTGCTATCTTCACCCTATCGAGACATCCTCAAGTCACATCATATCTTGAGATCAACATTAAACATTTATTTGAAGTTTCATATCAACATTGTCCATAACCAAGTCATATTCAAATATTGTCCATCTTACATGACTTAGCTCATCCTCATTTGAGTCCATACCTTAACATGTATGAATCAACATCAATATGTTCTCAATTCACAATTCCTTATTTCCTCTCTTCAGTTTGGCTTGACATCCTTCATCTTCGCTTCAATATCTATTTCTATAATGGAATCACTCTAATTTCCTTCTTCATTCTTCCAACTTGATTAAAGTCATTCTACAATCAATCCCTTCTTGTTCATGCAAAGCAAGCAACCTATATGAGACCAAACCATATCCATTCCTCTTATGTATAATTTTTCATTTGCCAAATATGCTTGCTTTTACATGCACGCACAACATAAAATTTATTCATCAATTCCATTTGCATTGTTGTCTTTCATGATCCTCTAATCACAACAATACATAACTTTGGCCTTTATTTGAACACTGTGTGGAATACCCTCAAATTTGCCTTCTTGTTAAACCTTTGATACACTTCTTGTTATACAATCTTCAAGTATATGCAATATACTCAATTTCTTATTCAATAATTAATAAACTTATTCGATCTTTAATTATGTTGTCAATTAATCCACTAAAACTCATCAAGGGACCTAGATGCACTTTCATGCACGCCGTTCAGCCTCAATGCACGACTACTACAGTGGGCTTGAACATGACATCACCTACCTCACACATCAAGCGGAGAACCTCGACACAAGTGCCATGTTCGCTTGGCTGATAAGCCATGGTTGAAAGTACCGTTGGCTGATTTATTGTGAGAGAGAAATATTGTTCGTCGGCTAAAAAAATATGGCTTATAAGCCAAGCGAACAGGGTGACGGGGGAGGTATAGCAGGAGCTGCGCAATCACATCCAAAACACCAAGGTACAGCGGCAAGAAACATAAGGATGGGAACTAGATTATCTTAGCCTCTTAGTTCATTTCAGATAATCATTTCATGGAATCAACAAATAATCATTTTTCTTTGAAAAATTGTTTTGTAGAGCTCTTGTACAGAGAGAGAACTCTGCCAAAAACACCTTAGGGAAGCTCTTTTTTATGTACCGGAACATATAAAAGCAAATAAAAGATCGTGTTTGTATCACATGATATAAAGTTTAGGGGCTAAGCTTTAGACTATTTTAGCTCCTAAGGCTTTAAAAGGTCGTCTAAAGTCTCATCTAAAGTTTACGCAACTTTAAAAAAAATCATTAGTTCATTAGACATATAAGTGAGCTAAAGTAACAATTTAAGTAGTCCTGCCGCCACTCGAAGGTCCGGGCATATGCCTCCTAGTCAGAGCTGTATTTCAGGTTGATCAGTGTCCAATGTAACAGCATAGCTTACAGTACACTAGGGAGGATCCGACGTCCATGTACAATCTCTTTTGACAACCTAGGGCGCCGCTAAGACGTGTTGTATTAAACTTTTTTCTACTTAATAAAAAACGCACGAAGCTTTGGCGTGATCGAGAATTTTTTTTAATCAACTAATAAACTTTATTAGACATGAAATTCAAATAGGGCCTAAATCCGACGGCACGCCAGGCATCCGACGGCCATTTTGTCGTGGCAGGCATCGCGGCAGCGAACAACCGCCTCAACTGAACAACGGGCCCCAGCAACAGCCCACGCCGCACCACCGCACAGCCGACGTGGCAAAACCAGCGGCCGCCTCAAGATTCGTGCCGCCGCGCAGCCTCCCCGCCCATCGACCGACGCCATCGCCGTCACCTTCCCTCTCACCAGTCACCGCGCCTAGCTAGGGCTGCCCTCCCCCTTCCCGTACACCGACCCGACACCACCACACCAACCTTCCCATCCCCTCCCCCCGCACCCCCGCCGCCGCCTCCTCGTCGGCCGGCGGCGAGGGCGCGCCGCCTCCTACCCGCCCCTTCTGGTCCTCCGGAGGGCCCGCCCCGCGCGTGAGAGCCCCTTCGCACCGGGCTGCGCCTACGGGGTCGTGGCTTAGGGTTTCATGCGCCTCGCAGCCCGCCGATGTCGCACCCCGGCAAGTTTGTCTCCGTCAACCTCAACCGATCCTACGGCCAGCCCGCTCCCTCATCACACCATGGCGGTGGCAGCGGCGGCGGCGGCGGCCGCCCCTCCCGCCCCGCCGGCGCCGGCTCCTCAGCCGGTGGCGGCATGGTGGTGCTCTCCCGCCCGCGCGGAGCCTCCTCCCTCGCCAAGCCGCAGGCGCCCAAGCTCTCCGTCCCGCCGCCGCTCAACCTACCGTCGCTCCGCAAGGAGCACGAGCGATTCGACGGCTCGGCGGCCGCTGCGGGGAGCGGGGTCGCCTCGGCCCCGCCTCGATCCGGCGGGCCTGCTGCCGGCTGGACCAAGCCCGCCCCGGCGTCCGAGAAGCCTCCCGGCTCCGCAGCGCTTCCTGGCGGCGTCGCCAGGTCACCATCATATGGGTTTGCGGAGAAAGCCGTCGTCTTGCGTGGGGAGGACTTCCCGTCCTTGAAAGCAGCTGTTGCCCCGCCAACACCTCCGCAGCCTGCGCAGCGGCAGAAGGATGCTGATGGAGCGCGGGTCGTCACACCAGATGCGCGACCAGGACCTCTTGGGATGCGGCCGCAGGTGACAACCTCGCGGGCCACTGAGCCACTGACCTCTGGTGGCAGCTTGGGACCTGGTGGCCGCACTTCCGCTGAGAGGGTGCAGAAGCCTGATCTGGGGCCGCTTCCGATGGTCCGGCTTAGGTATGATTCTGACTGGGCTGATGACGAGCGTGACACAGGACTGAGCCTTCCAGAGCGGGACAGCAGGGAGAGGGGATTTGGCAGGACTGAGGCCATGGTTCCAGGGCGCGACCTTTATGGAGCAATGAGGGAGCCCTTCAAAAAGGAGCTGTTTGGGAGAGATGTGGCTGCAACAAATAAAGAAGGTGTGCAGGACGGCCTGTGGCGATCTCCTGTGTCAAACCAACACGATAGGGAGCGAACAGATGGCCGGCCATACAGTGGTGGCAGAGGAAGCAGTGGCCAACCATATCGGGAAAGCATAGCTGCCGGTGGCTCCAAGGATGTGTGGAGTAATAGTAAGAAGCCTCCTATGCGTGCCTATGGTCAGAATGGGGTGGAACAGTATGGAACCACACGAGTTGGGGAAGCTGCTAGCGAGCATTACGGTGACAGTTCAAATAACTGGCCTAGGTTGAATTCTTTCCAGAATAATGTTGGTTCCAAAGTGCAGCCCTTTGGTGGTAATAAAGGGCCTTTAATTAATGATCCAGTGGCAAAATTTGGTAGGGAGAAACGGCTGACTGGTTCCCCTGCTAAGCCTTTAATAGAGGATAGTGGTTTTGACAGCATTTCTGCCGTTAACTTGACTGCAATAAAGAAGAAAAAAGAAGCAGCAAAACCAGCTGATTTTCATGACCCAGCAAGGGAGTCGTTTGAGGCAGAGCTTGATAGGATCTTGAGGGTACAGGAGCAGGAGAGACAACGGGTAATGGAAGAACAGGAAAGGGCGAGAGAAGTTGCTCGGAAGCAAGAAGAGGAACGGGAGAGGCTGATACGAGAGGAGGAGGAGAGGCAACGTCTGGTGGAGGAGCAGGCAAAGCAGGCAGCTTGGCAAGCTGAGCAAGAGAGGCTGGAAGCTGCTAAAAGGGCTGAGGAGCAGAGAATTGCCAGGGAGGAGGAAAGGAAGAGGATTGCCATGGAGGAGGAGCGGCGTAGGGAGGCAGCGCGTCAGAAGCTCCTAGAATTGGAGGCAAAAATTGCTAGAAGACAAGCAGAATCAAACATTGGCAGCGCAAGAGCTGTCAATGATGAATTTATTCCTGGAGATGTCAAGGACAGAGACCTGTCACACTCTGCTAACTTTGGTGACAGAAATGATATTGATAAAATGAACGAGTGCATCAATACCTTAGCACCATTGGAATCCTCTAGTCTTAACAGGTTCAGTGAGACAGTTCCAAGGGTGCACACTCTTATGGATGGACGCTCTTCATTTATTGATAGAGAAAATGCATACTATAGTTCACGAGCTGCATTTCCAGAACAAGAGAATGTGCATTATAGTCCACGGCGTGACCCTTTTGCTGCAAAGAGGGGAAATTTCCCTAAGAAAGATCTTAATGATGGATTTGGGAGTGTTTCGGTCAGGCAATCTTCAACAGGCCGAACAACTGATTCTCCATGGGCACTCGAAGATTTCCATCATGAAAAGGTTCCACGATGGGATGCGCCTAGGGAGATTGACCATTTCAGCAAACAATCTGACTTTGATAATGAGCTTTTTAACAGTGGCAGGTTTGGAGATACAGCTTGGCTGCCTAGTAGTTCTCATGGAAGCCTCAATGCTCATGCTCAACAAGGAGATAGGATGTTTCAGAGTCCTGATGTTAATGAATTGTCTTCTTTTACCAGACCACGCTACTCTATGCGGCAACCACGTGTCCCCCCACCCCCAATTGTGACCTCTGTGCGAAGTTCAGTCAGTGCTTCAGCTCAACGTATCAATTCATCTTTTGTGGATGGTGGGAGCGGAGTGAGTTCTGGTAGAGACGATGTGCAGATTATGCAGGGTCAGTATGGAAGTGCATACCAAGAGGCATCTCGCCAGCATGGGATACGACCTGACCACATTTCTGTTAATGAGCACCAAATTGTGGACAGAAAAAGCCCTGTATTGGGTTCACAATCTTCTCTTTCTGTTTCAAGCCCCCCTAGCTCACCTCCACATGTTTCGCATGATGAGATGGATGTATCTGGTGATTCTCCTGCGTTACCGACTTCTGCTGATGGTGAACGAACGGTGCTCTCTGACAACGACCATGCAGCTCTGACTGTAGATGCAGACAATACAAGCAGAATTGCTGCCTCAGGAGTGCCCCACTTGGAGGATGATGAATGGTCAAGTGTAAACAATGATGATAAGCGAAAACAGGATGAATATGATGAAGACAATGATAGCTACCAGGAAGATAAAATCAATGAAGCTGATGATGAGAATATTGACTTGGATGATGAGTTCTTAGAGGGACAGAATACACCTGTAGAACTGGAACCAGTTATACTTGGATTTGATGAGGGCGTGCAGGTTGAAATTCCACCGAATAGTCAACTTGAATTAGCTTCTGTGAGGAGCACTGAAAGGACTGTTGGAGTACATCTAAACTCAGGAGTTGCAGAGCAAGAGAATGTCAGTGGTTCAGTTGTCCATTCTGATCCTGTTACTGAAGCAGAGAAAGCACTGCAGGCATTGACTCTTGATCGTGTAAATGCCCTGACAGAAGACAGTAATGGGGAGCCATCCAATAGCTTAGGGACACCTGCTTCAAGTTCCCAGTTACCTCAGGCATCTTCTGTAGGTCCTATTTTTTCATCAGCTTCAGCAGTAGTTGGGCAGAATGAAGTACCTGTTAGCCTCCAGTTTGGTTTGTTTACAGGTCCTCCTCTAATACCAACTCCAGTTCCAGCCATTCAAATTGGTTCCATACAGATGCCAATCCATATCCACAATCAGTTTAACCCATCCCTGCCTCACATGCACCCTTCAACAGCCCCCTTATATCAGTTTGGCCAGTTGAGGTATGTCCGTCCTATCGCCCCGAGTGTTCGATCGCTGCCTTCTCAGGCCATCCGCCCTGCACATTCTTCTATACCAGCTCAACATACATTGAATCAGAATGCGTCCAGTGTTCTACCTGAGCTAACGGATGGAGATACAAACCAGAACATCCCAGCTCAGGCAAGCTCATCCACCTTTATCAATAAATCAGCAGCGCCTACAGACAAGCTTCCCCTTGGAATGGACAATTCAAACTCTCAGTATCTCAATGCTCCTGCAAACAATCAGATGGCTGGTGTGGAGGGATTTCATGGCCAGGTGGACAGAGAATCTGCTGAGGGTACAACTCCCAGTGGGAGGAATCAAGATCTCTCTTCGAAGAGGAATTACAGACCTACCTCCAACAATGTAGAATCTTCTCAATATGGTTTGGAGGGGAGAGCCATGGGTGATCCAAAGGTTCCTGGTGTTGTCTCTGATAGAAGGGGGAGGAGATATGGTTATGCTGTTAAAGACATCAACATGAGATCTACTGGCTCATTTGTTGAACCTTCTCATAAAGATTCCAAAGGAGGATTCCAGAGAAGGGCTCGTAGGAATGTAAGACGGACTGAGTTTAGAGTTCGGGAGAACATCGACAAGAATCAAAATGAAACTTCTGAGTCATTTTGCCATGGTGAACAAGACGAGATGACATGCTCCAATGGAACAAGAGATGTTCCAGTGAGAAATACTAATAGAAGGGAACTTGATATGAACAAGGCTTCTAGGATAAATGAAGCAAGTGATCAGAGCGTCTCATTTAGAAGTACACACAATGTTCCTTATGAGAGATCTCATGGTGGGAGCAAGAAGTCTAGAACAGGTGCTGTCCCTGATGGAGATACTACCTCATTGCAAGCTGGAGTTGTTCGTGTTGTGAAGCAGCAAGGCATTGAGGTCCCTGTTGATGCAGATGGCTTCATTGAAGTAAGGTCCAAAAGACAGATCATGAGTGTCAGGAGAGAGCAGAGGGAGAAAGAAAATAGATCCAAAATGAGGATGGCAAAGGTGCTCATCTATCATGTTTCATATGCTTAAATTTTTATCTTGTTTTTACCTTATTTGAGTTAGTTAATGCTTTTATTTTGGTTGTATCAGGCTCCCCGCAAACAGCATAGTGTTTCCCTACAAAGCTCAGTTGGTCCTAGTGTGAATAAGAGAGCAGCTCCTTCGAGTGGAGAAGTTCCAAAGAAAGTTTCTTCCGGTTCTGCCATCACGGTAGAAGGAAGAATTGCTGACTATGCTGAAACTTCGGTTCCATCGATGGGTGATACGGCTTCCATGAACCTCATAGGGCCACCTTCAACCAATGCAGAAACTCATACAAACTACTTTGCCAATCAGTATGTAGCTTAATTATGCTTAAGTTCTTCAACCAATTAAGGCTATGCCTGAGGGTCACTCACAAAAGCTTTTACAGGCCTATCCAGATCCAGACATCCTCTGACTTGGTCACCTCCAGTCCTGCAAAGCTTGTGAGTGGCTTATCTGAAGACAACAATAAAGGGGCATCTATTAGTACTCCATTTAACATGGTTTCCTGGGATAATTCACAAATAAACCAGCAGGTAGATTGCTTTTCTCAAGTTTATTTGTGTTCCAATGGTGGCAAATCTATATTCTTTTATTGTTGCATCCATATTTTCCATTCTGTATCTTGGGTTGTAGATTGTTTCTTGTGAATGAATTCTACATATATTCACTCCCAATACATCAAGGTGTATTTACATTTTGTTTTTTCATGGATGCAAACCAGATTACCTTGCTATTTTCCAGAAAATTATGGAAAGTTAAACAGTTATTATGCCTACTGTACTTGCATAATTCAGTGAGTGTTTTCTTCTGAATTTGTACAAATTATTAATCCAAACACCAGAAGAGGAACGGATAGCAATATCGTGGGTACATTTGGTTGCCTGGTTGAGTACTGTACAGCCTTGTTGAGTCAGAAATCAGAGAGATTGCTGGGTGAGGCTTCCTTGGGACCTGAGCTAAGGGAGCTTTTTGCTTGCTTCCGCAGGCGAGCAAATTTGTCTCGCCTGCGCTGGCTAGCTTGCTTTAGACTAACGAGGTGAGGCTGTGCTCGCTCGGGAGTCGGGAACCAAACTTGCCCGTGATAAACATCCTAAGACTACAATGCTAGATAACCATATTTCAACATATTACTTGGGAATTGTATCACATGAGTGTCTTTTTTGTTGTCTTTCCTTATATTTTTCTAATAAAATTAAAATGTTGATGAAAATTCTATTTGAAATCCTGCACCAAGAGCGACCACAGAACAAAGCCTTTTGCTAGAGATGAACCCAACAAGGGCTGCCCCTGAATAAAAGTAAGACAGGTATGAGTAATAGCATCGTAGTGATAGTAAGGAGATTTATAAGGTTATGGTTTATCCACATGGAATGTGATTTCCATGTGCTCCTATCCAGAAGTTGCAGTTCAAGTAGTTCTTATTTAGGTAAAAGATCGACAATCATAAACTAAACTTGTCCTTTTTAAATGCTCATGTTGCTGTGTTGGTAGCATGCAGTTTAAGTAGTTCTTATTGTACATTGCAATGAGTGCGTCCCTACCTTCAAATTATTATACTTATCTGTAAATGCATTTTCTATTGAATGCAATTGTACATTTTATTTGGATTTTCAGGAAGCAACTTTTTAGTCTGGCATATGCCACTGAACTATGGTTTTATCTTAATTCTCTAGTCTTCATATATATAAATATTTTTTGCAACTTGTTCACATGTAGGTTATGCCATTAACTCAAACTCAACTTGAAGAAGCTATGAGACCAGCTAAATTTGAACAGCAGGCTGGGTCTGGCTTTTCTTTGGAGTCCAACAATGCTTTGTCTCCCACAGTAACCACAGAAAAGGTGTTCCCTTCATCTGCTAGTCCTATTAACTCCCTTCTGGCTGGAGAGAAGATTCAATTTGGTAAGCACTTTTCATCAGTACTGTATGATGTTTATTGCCACTTGACTTACAATGAATAACAATGTTGCTCAGGGGCAGTAACCTCGCCAACCATGCTACCCCCAGCTAGCCGAACTGTTTCAAGTGGTCTTGGAGCTCCAGGTTCATCTAGGCCTGATATGAAGATTGATCGAGGCTTGTCTAGCGATAACAGTGGTCCTGATAAGGCAAATTCCAAGGAATTATGTCCGAGTACCGAGGATGCAGAAGCAGAGGCTGAAGCAGCTGCTTCTGCTGTGGCTGTGGCAGCTATTAGCACTGATGAGGGATCTCCAGCTGATGCGACTACAGCATCGGCTCCAGACACCAAGAGCTTTACAAGCAAGGATCTCAGTGGGTTAACATCAGGAGGTATGATCTTTGCATTGTCAAATACTTTAATTAAAACATTGTTATATGATTATGTAGCTATATTTATTGTGTTATGGACAAAACTGAAGCAGGGGCAAGAACCGGTCAAGCTGGTCAATCATCCACCGAAGAGCCGCTCACAGTTGCTCTTCCTGCAGACTTATCAGTTGATACTCCATCCATGTCCTTGTGGCCTCCTATAGCCAGTCCACAAGCATCAGGGCCAATGCTTTCTCAGTTTCATGGTGCACAGCCATCCCACTTTTCCTGCTTTGATATGAATTCGATGTTAGGAGGGCACATTTTTGCATTTGGCCCAAGTGACGAATCTGCTGGTTCTCAAGGTCAGCACCCTCAAAGAAGCAATGCATTGCCTTCAGCGCCATTGGGAGCTTGGCCGCAGTGTCATTCTGGGGTGGACTCTTTCTACCGTCCTCCAACTGGGTACGCTGGTCCTTTCATTACTCCGGGAGGAATCCCAGGCGTGCAAGGTCCCCCACATATGGTGGTCTATAACCACTTCGCCCCAGTAGGGCAATTTGGTCAGATGGGACTTGGTTTTATGGGAGCCACTTATATCCCTGGTGACAAGCAGCCTGATTGGAAGCAAAGCCAAGGACCACCTATTGTTGGTGTAAGCCAGAGTGATCCAAACAGCCAAAATATGGTGTCTGGTCAAGTAAATGCTCCTAGTGTTCCTGCTCCAGTTCCACATCTACGCCCAACTTCTATCATGCCAATCCCGTCTCCATTGACCATGTTCGACATTGCTCCTTTCCAGGTATGCATTTTAATTGTCGTAGATACATGCCAAGACAGTGAAAAAATCATGTAGTTAACTCTTGCATTTTCATGTTGCAATCTTCATTTGCTTTGTAACCAACTATCCTCGCTGTTTTTCCAGACATCTACAGACATACAGATGCAAACGTGTTGGCCACATATGCCTGTACCTCCTCTACACTCAGTTCCATTATCAGTTGCACTTCAGCAGCATCCAGTAGATGGTATAGCCACACAACAGTTTGTTCATAACGTGCCAGTAGACAAGTCCAGTACAAATAACCGATTTCAGGAGGCCTCTGTTTCTGCTGGACCATCAGATGTCAACAAGACCTTCCCGAATGCAGCTGCCTCTCAGTACAGAGATGAGTTAGGTCTTGTCGAACAGCCAGCCTCAACTAGTTCAAGCTCCCAAACTGTTCGGCCTTCATTTGGCCAGGCAGGCGTGATCAGCAATGAAGTCTCGGCCAGTGCCAAAGTCATGGTTAGAGCAACCCCATCTAAAGTCAACCCTGGAACTGCAGCAGGGGTTGCTAGCAACACGAACGGCCCTCAGGTCACCAGCATATCTTCCAAGACCCATCAGTCGTCATCATCATCAGACCAGCAGTACCAGCATCCGGTTAACAATCAGGATCGCCGGGCCCATGCGACCCAAAAGGCTGGTACTGGTAATGAGTGGCAACGGCGATCAGGGTACCAGGGTAGGAATCAAGGTTCTGGTTCCCACAGGAGTTCAGGCACTGGTAGGATGAAGCAGATCTACGTTGCGAAACCCTCGTCAACAAGTGGCCATGCCCCATCAGGCTAGAGAGTGGTACTGACTTCACTGAGCCTGCTTCACGCTGGTACAGCTCAGAGCATCCTTGGCATCAGACACATGCGGAACATATTTTCGCTCCATGTCTGTCTATTCTGGTTTATTTGGTGATTATGGCTTTGTGCTGGTTGTGTATGTTTTTGGTTCATTTTGTTGCATAGAAGAAAATAGAGTGCTGTTGCACTGCAAAAAAACATTCGAAGCGATACCATATGATGCCTGATAAATTTTGCAGCCGATGGAATCGGCTGCCCCGTGTGAGTCACTTCTGTGTGATGTAAGGATTACTATTGTTTATTATTATTTGTTGACCGGCTCAAGGTCTGGACAGGCGAGGAAATGTAACTGGGGTATGTTCATAAATGCCTCGATGCTACTTTATAGAACCATATGCATCCCTATCCTATTTTGTCATTTTATGTTAGTCATTAGTACTGCAAAATAGGATTCCTTGAATCTTGACGCGAAAATCTAAGCTTGCCCAATAACTTGGATGTCATCACACAAAATTTTATAATTAAAAAACTTGATATGTCAGTCCAATTTTAGCCTTGACCAGGAATTCTTGTTTGAACCGAAATCTCCTAGGCTCTGTTTGATGGGTGGCTTTTCAAAAGCACCTGTTTCTTTCTAGACTTGATGCCACACAGTATCTGAAGCAACTTTCCAGGTATTAATCGTACACATGCAGGAGGAGACAGTCAGGATGCAATCCACTACCAGGTGCACAGGTTCAATGGGACACCTTCGAATACATACATTGTTCAACTACCAGCACTGCTCCCAGGATCGAGATGCTACACAGATGCATCAACAATGCCAGATTGAGCCTCTTCACAACCAAAAAAGATCGAGCCTCTTCACAATCAAAAAAGGCTGGACTGGGAATCTTTATTATCTACACAGGAACGCATCCACCACAAAACATCTACATAAAGGCAGCAATTACAGACTCCGTCTCGGTGGTCATGGCAGAGGCAGCAGCCCTTGCGCTTGCTGCTGGTGTCACTGAGCGGCTGCATATACACAACATTAACTTCCTATCCGACAACCAATAACTTGTCACCTTCTTCAACAGCAGAGATCGTTCCACGCCGCCTGACTGGAGGATCAAGCATCTCACCCAGACCTTCATCAACTCAACAATGCAAAGGACACACAAGTGTATTCAAGATAAGGAGCCAAAATCAAACTGCTCATACACTAGCAAAACAGGCCTCTGTAGGGATTCACTCCCACCCTCCACGCCTATCAATTAGTTGTTCCAAGTTCCAACAGAAGCCATGTACTACAGTGTTAGGGCTTGATCTGCTGCGGAGGATATAGGAGTGAGAGATGGCTGGCCGTGGCTTGAATGCCCGGCGGTGAGGAGGCGGCGCTGTGCTCGGCGCCGAGTTGGTGGCTAGGACGAACACGCGAGAACAGAGAGCGACTAGAACGCCAGGGAGCGAGAGAGATTAATCTCAATCTCTGGCTAATCTCTATTAATCAAATAGTGTTCCACACTTATAAGCAAATCCCAACAAACTTCCCCTAACTCTAGGAAGTAACAAACTGATGAAACAAACTACTAAATATCCGGCTCCTGAAACTGACTACGACGCCGCAAGGGTGGTGACCGCGCGCTGGCGTGCTGCGCTCGGCGGTCCACTGCTCAGCCACTGACCCTACCGCGGCGTTGATACACCTTGCCCACCATAACATCACTCCCCCCCCCCGACAAACAGCTCGTCCTCGAGGTGGAAGGAGGGGAACTCGGCACGGAAATCATCAAGGGGCTCCCATGTGGCGTCGGCTGCGGGTAAACCTTCCCAGAGGACAAGGACATGCCACTTCCCGCGATGGAGCTGGGCACGCAGTGCACGCGCCGGCTGCTGTAGGCGGCGACCTTGGTGGAGTGGAGGCAGCGCCGGCGGTGAAGACGGAGGAGTGCCGCGGAACGGCTTGAGGACGCCCACATGAAAGACGCCGTGGATGCGCGCGTTGTCCGGAAGCTGCAGGCGGTAGGCGACGTCGCCCACGCGTTCCGTCACCTGGAACGGCCCGGCGTACCGAGGGCTCAGCTTGCCCCGCCGACCCGGCAACAACGATTCAGCCAGACCCAGTCGCCAACCTCGAACTCCAAGGCGCGGTGATGGCTGTCGTAGTAACGCCGTGCATACTCCTGAGCTTGAAGAAGACGTTTGCGCACATCAGCCAGCGTCCACAGCGTCGGTGCGCGCAGTACCTGCAGTGTAAGGAATTAGCGTCGGCGGAGGCCGGCCGTAGACCACTTGAAACGGCGAGGTGCGCAGGGTGGAGTGGTAGGAAGTATTGTAGCAATACTCCGCCCAGGGCAGCCAATCAAGCCAAGCTCAGGGACGATCACCAGTGATGCAACGAAGATACACGACGATGGTTTTGTTCACCGCCTCGGACTGGCCGTCCGTCTGTGGATGGAAGGCCGTGCTGAGGCGAAGTTTGACACCGGCGAGCTTGAAGAGATCATGCCACACTGCGCCGGTGAACACGGGCCCCGATTGCTAACGATGAAGTTGGGGAACCCGTGCAGGCGAACGATGGCTTTGAAGAAGTCTTTGGCAACCGAAGTGGCGGTGTATGGATGGCTCGGCGCAATGAAGTGAGCGTGCTTGGAGAAGTGGTCCACCACGGTCAAGATGACACTCTTGCCATGGATGCGGGGAAGGCCTTCAATGAAGTCAAGGGAGATGTCCGTCCACACCTAGAAGGAGACCTCCAGCGGCCGCAGCAGTCCCGCGTGCTGCAGCGACTCGACATTGTTCCGCTGGCACACCGCACAAGAGCGCACGAAGTCGCGCACCAAGGTGCGGTCATGGTCGGCGAAGAACTCAGAGCGGAGGCGATGCAGCATCCTCTGGACGCCCTCGTGAAAGCTCTAGTTTGGGTTTGGTGAATTGATGAAACCCTAAGTGCTAACCTAGTTTATCAAAGTGATTACGAGATAGGTAGCACTACTCCAAGTGGTGAAGCAAGTGAAGATCATAACATGATGACGGTGATGCCATGGTGATGATCAAGTGCTTGGACTTGAAAAGAAGAAAGAGAAAAACAAAAGGCTCAAGACAAAAGTATAAGTCGTAGGAGCCATTTTGTTTTGGTGATCGAGACACTTAGTGAGTGTGATCACATTTAGGATCAATAGCCGTACTATTAAGAGGGGTGAAACTCGTATCGAAATGCGGTTATCAAAGTGCCACCAAATGCTCTAACTCATTGCATATGCATTTAGGATCTAGTGGAGTGCTAACACCCTTGAAAACATTCTATGAAAATATGCTAACACATGTGCACAAGGTGATACATATTGTGTTTAGCACTTGGGAGCAAAGGTAAGAAACTTCACCGGCGGAGTGTCCGCCCATAGAGTGCGGATAGTCCGACGGTGCCACCGGCGCCCTATACAGAAAAGACCGGGTTTCACAGAGTGGACCGGACGCTGGTCTCAACTGGACCGATGCGTCTGATTAGTGGAAGCTATGAAGATGCTGGCGTCGGTCTTCAACCGGACGCTGGGTCACTTCATGACCGGACGCGTCCGGTCGCGAGTGGAGGCTTACTAGAAATGACCGGACGCTGGGGTCCTGCGTCCGGTTGTGGCACTGTGCTGCGTCTGGTCACTACTTGACCATTGGGATCGGGCGCTCAGTATTTGAAGAGAGGGATGATATGGTATCCATCCATTGACCGGACGCTGGCAGGGTGCGTCCGATCGATCTGACCGGAGCGTCCTATCACCTCGAGCAGTGTCCAGTGAAGGGGTACAACGGCTCTATTTTGTGGGGGCTTCTATTTAAGCCCCATGGCCAGTTCAAGCTCACCCTCTTGGCCATTTGCATTGACATAGCAACCTTATGAGCTTAGCCAAAGCCCTCCCAATCATCTCCATCATAGATTCAACATCTTTGTGAGATTGTGACTGAATCCAAGTGCATTGCTTGAGTGTTTGCATCTAGAGGCACTTGGTGTTCGCGTTTCGCTACGGGATTCACTTGTTACTCTTGGTGGTTGCCGCCACCTAGATGGCTTGGAGCAGCGAGGATCATCGAGCGAAGGGTGGTGATTGTCTTCGACTCCAATCGTGGTGATTGTGAGGGGTTCTTGACCTTTCCCCGGTGGAGAGCTAAAAGGTACTCTAGTGAATTGCTCATGGCTCGTGTGATTCTCATCTTGTGTTGGTTGTGCGGCACCCTATTGAGGGTTTGGCGTGTGATGCCAATTAGCGCGTGAACCTCCAAGTGAGTGAATCACCACAACGAGGAGTAGCTTGCCGGGAAGCAAGTGAACCTCGGTAAAAAATAATTGTGTTCATCATTTGATTCTGAGGTGATTGGTCTTCATTGGTATTCATTCTTGTGATTGATTGGTTCACTCCTCGACACGGCGGTATAAACAACTTGCTCACTCTCTTTACATTACCGTAAACTAGTTGTCAAGCTCTTTAGTGTAGCCAGTTGTGAGAGCTTGTTAGTTTGATTAGTGTGGCTCATTAGTTAGCCTTTGAGAGCACACTAACTTAGTATAGTGACATAGCTATTGTGTGGATAGAAACTATATAAACTAGAATTGTGGTAGATGAGTTGCAATTTTAGTAGGCTAGCACAACATTTGTTTCGCCTCATAATTGTCTAACCGGTTTGTTAAGTGTTGTTGTAGAAATTTTAATATGCTATTCACCCCCCTCTAGCCATTAGGACCTTTCACCTCGTGGTCGATGGAGTGAGCGAGCTCCAAGACGGAGGCCAACACCGCTGAAAGCTCTAGTTTGGTTTTGGTGAATTGATAAAACCCTAAGTGCTAACCTAGTTTATCAAGTGATCATGAGATAGGTAGCACACTCCAAGTGGTGAAGCAAATGAAGATCATAGCATGATAAAGATGATGGCATGGTGATGATGAAGTGCTTCGACTTGGAAAGAAGAAAGAGAAAAACAAAAAGCTCAAGGCAAAGGTACAATTTGTAAGAGCTATTT